AATTGCATTTTAAAATCAGATAACGGAATAATAATTTTAACATCACTGTAACGTTTCTTTAGTTTATAATAACACCTACAATTTGTAAGCGGGTGCGCAATGATATAACATAAAACCGAGCAACAATATCCTAATGGTCTAGTAGATAACCATGTCCTAGCACAAGCTTCCAGCTTATTTGGACTACTAATGTGTGAAAATATTTCTAACACTAATTTTTTTTTAATTTGTAAACTAAACTGTTATGTAATATTGTGTGTGTCTATGCAAATAAAAAAAATATTTTTATAAAAAAAAATAATAATTAAATGGAACAGTTTAATAGTAATCTAGTTTAAGAATTGTTAAGAGTCGAAGACGTGTAGTGACTAAGTATTTAATATTATTTTTTTATTTCTTTGACAGGAGTAATTAATTTCTTTCTAATTGATTAGATGTTTCAATAATATTCTTAACGTGACCTTTAAGACGTTGATTGGTCTACCCTTGTAAATGTCCATCTTTCATGTTGGACTTAACCTAAGGTAAAAAATATCTGTTCTGATACGACTTTTTATACTAATTTAGTAAGTATATTTATAGAGCTATAGTGAATGGTAAAAAATGTGTTATTAATTTTCAACTACTGAATTATTAAATTATCGTGAGACATTATTTTTTATTTACGTTTTATAAGCTAGCGCTTGACCACGATCCCACCTGGTGTTAGTGGAGATTTGGTCGAAAGATGGTACGCGCTAGCTTAGTAAGTGCCTATTATGTGAGTGTTTTATACGTTAGTTTACTATATTATTATTACCTTAAATATTAAATGTAGTTGGCACGCCCTATAGATTGTTACAAGGTCTTTATTAATTGTCCTGATCTATCTATATCGACATAAACAGCAATAAAATATTTAAGTTCTGCCGAATTAATAGGAAAACTATGCCTGAATTACTTAACCGAATTTAAAGTGCGAGGTTTAATACGATTTGTATTCTTCCCCGGAGTGTTATAGGAATAAATCAAGTAGGGCTTTTTGATTTTATGCCAAAAGAATATTGTATGAATCCTTTTTTTTTAATTTCCGCGAATCTCAACATTTGGCAAAGGTCTTGTCTGTCTTGACGTTTCGCATCTCTATCCAAACTTTTTTATTGATGTGATTGGATCCCTTTGAACAATTATTTTTTTTCTGTTCTTAGCGCGTGCAGTCGCGTTATTAAACTAGCCACAAGTACACAGGCGGTGACGGCTTATGAATACAAAGCGTCCACATTTAAATTTACGGCCGGCAACGTCTCGTTGCCGAAGGATCGCGGAATGACCATGGCGGGACTAAACTAATACCCAAATACCAAGTTGTAATTACTTTACTATCCCATTAATACCATTTGTTACTCAAAAATATTTGATATTAACCAAATTAGATTGCTTAATACAAAATTGTAAGATATTTATTTTATCTCATTATCGCGAATTATATATGAACACAATCTATACTTAATCGAAGATAGAATTTGAAATTTAATTAATTGGCGAGTAGTAGGGTCTACAAAAATAGATTAATTATTCTCTAAATAATAGATTCGGTGTTTCGATTGCTATTTACCTACCATAGTAGCCGAAAATGCTATCTTAGACGAGCATGATTTGAATTCTTATTAGGCTGTTTGTTCAATTCAAATGTGGTTAATACGTAAAACACAACACACTTAGCGTCGGCTTCTAATTCTGAGAAATATATTTGGTGACATTTACGAGTTTTCTTACAATGCTGTCGTATCATCAGGTCACTACATGTACCAATTGAGGGGCTCGGCCTGCCTTAAGTTAGGAGTGCTGTCCTAAGTCATCTGTTTAATCATAGTATTACGTATCAATATTACCCACAACAGCAATGTCTCGATGCAAAAAGAAACAAAAATTCATTAAAAACAAAAACAAATACTGGCAAAATTGCTTTGACTGTATAGACCAGAGATTCCCAAACTTATTTTTTCGAAGAGGCCATTCAAAATATTATTAGTACCCCTTGCTACGGTGCTTCTTCAATGTTAATTCTCTTACTTATCTTAATTAAGCTCTCGCCGACTGTTACGTGGACCCCAGGTGGGCCTTAGAACACTTTGGGAATCACTGGTTTAGACAAAAGGATATTGACCAGCAACGCCTTATATTCGCGACATTGTAGAATAATTGTACAAGCTATACGAACAGTGAGTATCTTCTTGATGTGTCATGACTTGCCTGCTGTTGGCGTAGCTGCAGGGTGTCAAGTAGCAGCTCGTCATGTTGTACTTTGGGCAACAGAGGTCGCCTACGGCGAGTCTTGAGGGTGAGAAAGCGGCCTGTGACGGCGGCTTTCTCATTCATATTAGCGATTGCGTCTTCATCTGAACGGCGCCGCGCTTGCGGCTGGCTCTCGTGAACTGTAACGAAAACTACATTTTAATTATAAAATTACTGTTCATTCAAATAAAATTATTATTAATACTAGCTTTTCCTCGCGAATTCGTCATCTTAGTATTATATAATCTTGCAAACATCAGCTACCTTTCTTACTTTCATATTTAGTAATTCTCTATACATTGCGACTAAATAAATAATTTAATGTTACAATTTTCCTAAAACAGTCATTATTCACAATTAATTGGAAGTCTAATAATGATTATTCAGATTTAATCCAAGGTTTAAAGCTAGTCTATAAATTTTGAATTAAAACCGATACATGTCAACCATATTGACATACGATAAGTAACCATTGATAATAGTCGTTATCTTCGTTTCATCGAGCATATTTAGTACCAAACATGACAAAGTTTAACCCTATACAAAACATTTAAGACATATTTTTTCTTTAAAATCTGAAATTGTCGTCCCCACTAAGGGACTCGAGTTACTTATGTTAGCAATATTTACGTCTTAGCTGACCTGTAGTTGGCTTTCAACATCCACGAAATACTTCACAGATTTGTGGAAATGCGTAGATATATTTATTTCTGTTGCTACGTGCATTAGTTTAGTTTACCGGGATTTGAACTTCGACGTAATTGTAGTTACTGATAGTATAGAGATAAAAAAAATGTAGGCTTTACTATCGAAACGATTATACCAAATTTATTGGAAGGCAAAGAGATTTTGTTTTTAAAAAAAACTCCACTGACAGTCCCTTGTTATATAATTTGGCTAAAGTATTCTACGTATAAACTGTACAGTCAGCAGCATAAATATTTAAACATTTTAAAAAGTTTGGAAACTTTTAAAAGCCGTCGGTTTCAAAAATACCTTATTTACGTACTCCATAAAACATGTACGGATAGGGACCGATTCGTGCATATATGTGTTTAAAACCAAAAGCGTATGTACGTTTATGAAGCATTGTAAATAAATACATATTAACGCAGCTGACTGTACATACATACACGTGAAATACAAAAAGGGTATTTTAATAACGTTCCATACGTAGAAAAAATAAACTTTGAACGTTTATCTCACCGGGTAGATTAGAGATACACATTGTGGGACGTACGATGGGCACGATCAGCGCCCAGCCCAGCACTATCTAGAATTACTGTTTATCACAGTGTTTACTGATTGTTGATAAAAAAGCTAGCAAAAGCTTGTATGAATCGCAACTAATGCTACGTATTTCTAAGTACTCATATGATTACAGCGCTTAGGTAACTAATACGGTATACATCAACTGTTGACTAGTTGAACTAGTTTTATCCATATTCGGTTAGCAAGAACGAACTACAGCCCCACGGGCAGTAAGAAATAAAATTTATATCTTTGATTTTAACGCAGCTGTAAACGAAGCTATATGTCGTCTTATACTGAGTTGCAAGACCGTAATAAGCTGGAGATACACATGTGAACACATGTTGAGACAAAACTGGTTTTCATTGCGTATAAAAGATAATATTACTTGGCTATTGCAAATGCCAATAAATGGACAGTAAAAAATGTTTTTTCAGTATTTGTTTTTTGGTTTGCAAAAAACAAATACCGACAAAACAAATATTGATTTTAAGAATTGGAGACTGTTTCAAAGCTGGGAAAACTATTTCGGATCATTGCAGTGACGTTTATATTTATGTTTGCTTAAAAAATGCAATAAAACTGTGGTCTGAAACTAAAAGCTCTGAAAGTAAACATTCAGCTTGTATTTTAAAAACGAAATTGTCGAAAAAGTTTATATAATATACCAAATTGAATGAATGCATGTCGGTCTTTATGGCATCTACTCAGACTGTTACTAATTTGGATTTTACTGAACCAAAGTAATGAAATTGAAAAGAAAATGATTTAATTTTTTATAAAAACAAAATATATCGATTTTGCATACAAATAGCGAGACCGATGATGAATTTGTTAATAAATCTTCGCAATTTCTTTGAAATATAATCATTTTATTATAATGGTAAATATCAAATGCTAATAGCTCTATATGTCAAATTACCTCTATAAAGTTTACGGTATAAATTTATATTATTATCATTACTGGTGTGAAATATAAATGGACTGATAACTCATTTCAGACTGTTAGAGAAATCTGAATATAATTACGTTTGTTTCGTGAAATTACGATCCTAACGCCTCATGCCAAATGTTATCAAATGCAGGTGCACTTTGATGTTTATGTACAATCACCGTCGACAGCGGTATTCACGTTATAAACTACAATCGTTTGCAAGTCCTGCATTCTTTGAAATAAAAATAAATCTCACAGCTTTTTATTTTTCGTTATTTGATGTATACATTGATAATATTTTGTTTATGAGTAAAGAGGGGCAGAGATTAAATAAGGTAATTTTTCTGTAACTATAACACCGTTAACTTAGGTGACTGTACATTCAGATGTAGAATAAATCATTAAATGGATAAACGAATGATGTTGCCAAAACCAAGCTTTATCGTGAATATAAATCATAAATCGTATACTTTTTTTTTTGAATATCAGAAACAAGATAGGCAGTAGTCCAGTTGAATGTAAAGCTGTTTTAAGACAATTTAATTCACTTGCATCATCGTTGGCTTGCTAATTTACGCTATAGCTGAATTAATTTGAATTACAACATTAACGCATTGTAGAAAATGTTTTCTTTTCTACGTTTTTTTGTTACCGAGAACTAAATATTATAATTTTTTAATTACTAAAGAAATTTGATTATGTTTATCATAGTCCAAATGTAAAAAAAAAAACTTTGCGTAATTATTTGTACGAATTTGTCAATAATTTTCTAATAGTTTCTTCCCGTGATCATGAGTCGGAGGTCGACACAACGCGTTAAAGGACTATTTCGAATACAATACAATGTATCCTTAAGAATTCAAAACACGCGTAACGAAAACAGTAAGCGTACATTCTCAACGTATGGAGACATACAAGTTATAAGAATGCTATAAAAAATTTAAAAAGATTATATCAATATACCAATAGACTTACGTCTAATATCAAATATCTCGAATAGAATCAAATGTTTGCTTATTCATAGAATTTCTAACAAACATTTTAATCCATAATTCAAATATACCTGATCGATATATACAACCATTCTAACTGTAAAACTATTTCTTAATTATTAAACTTTATAAGATATTTTGATACAATTTTATGTCTTCTGAAATTGTTATTTGATATTGATAAGTAAAATTATTAAGAAAGTTTTACCTTCAAACAATAAATCGAAATAATAAATAATTCAAAAGGGATGATAAAATAACCTTAAAAGCAACGAAACTGATATTGAGGTCATTGCTTCTTAAACGCTTTGATTTGAAAGTTTGACATATTTGCTGAGTCAAAGTTTAACTTTTCCTACATATGAAAGGGCAAAGGTTGTAGGCCTCGGTATCCCATACCACGGGATACAAAAACAACAACATTGGCAGGTCATAAACAATGCTGTCAAGTTTCGTTGGAGCCGATTGACTAATGAATTTCATTTAATCCTCGCTGATGTCCTCATCAGCGCGGATTAAACGAAATTCAATGAATAAGGCAGATTCCATTTGCATTTGTTTTGAATGATTTTTCACACCTTTGTATTACGTTGTTTTTGAACAGGTTGATATAAAACTGTCATGAATTTTAGTTTTCGCTTCGTTTTCATTTTAGGTTCATTTTACTTTCACGGCTGTAAGTTGCGTTGCAGACGTTATCGAAGTCGAGCCAAAATAAAAGTGCTTCTTATTTGTTATGATAAAAAGCAAACGTACGAATTACCTGAAACCTTCACGGCATTTTAATTAAAGTATTCCATACAGACTTTAATTGGCTGTGTAAATTAAAAGTTCTAAAATAGCAAATAAAATTTTGTTTCTCTGCACTGTAGAATTCTGAAGTACCTTTTTTCAATCTGCTTTCAGCATGGATGGAGCCGGGATTTTTCAAAACGAATTTAGAGAAACTCGTAAATCAAAACAAGTTGACTTTATAATTACATCTAATACATGTTGAAATGACTAATTTTAAAACATTTTTTAAAATTTTATACGTTACTTTTAAATCGAATTAGTGAAGGTTACACGTGCACGACGAAATGTTTAATAAATAAGCCAGTCTAAACGAATAAAAATGCATTCTTTTTACAAATTTCATAACTATAGTTAAAAAAAATAAACTTAAAGAGTAACATTTAATTAGTGATTTTATATACAAACTATAGCGTACTTGGTCCGAAAGTATTTGTTAAGTTTAGAGCGTAATTTACCGCTGAAATCTGTTAGCTGCATTTAACACCTCCCGCTCACCTGCGGCGAATATTTTTTTGCTTCTGTTATGTTTCAATATGCGACCTGTTACGGCCTTATCAAACATTACAAAGAGTTTCCCAGCCACAACGGGAGTCGCGTCGGCTTTTTAAAGTGTTCCTCGCACAAACAAGCTAGAAACTTTGATTGGCATTTAATTAAACCCTTTTGTTCTATTTTATGTTTAAAATTATTTTTAACTTTTTTTTTAAGAAACACGACTAAAATATTGTTCACCAAAGCGAGAGTGAAAAAATGCAAATTAGCAGACCTTTTGATAAGATCCGTTTGGCATTGTGCGACTAACTATGCGCACTTCATACTGGTAGCTGGCCGCTATTCCAATTGCGCGCTAGTTATCAAGAAGTAGCCTTAATACGTGAATAAACAAATATATTTTATTACAGCACAACTTTATTGATGTGGTAAACATTAATATAATTATTAACCTTACGATTAACTTTGCAAGACCAATCTATGGATACCCAAATATTTTAGTATCTTGTGATTAAATACAGTCGAACATGGATAAGCGAGAATCATTGTCTGATCCCGACGATGACCTACATAAGTAATAAGTTAGTGTTAGAGAGAAAATCCTACAAGAAAAATACCAAAGACTCTTGGATTTTCTGGAATATAGGTTCGACTGCATTTGCTTTGTCACTCTATTCATTAACTTAAT